CAGTGCCTAAGCCACTGTTTCTCAGTTTAAGTGTTAACCCTCATTTCGTTAGCCCAATCATCTCTCATCAAAGCCATCTGTTCCTTTATCCAACTTTTAAAATATTGTGATAGACTTCATTTCTCCAAATGCACTGCTGCTAAACATACACCATCAGGCATGCGCATCCTTGGCTTGGCATTAACATGTGTACTCAGGATTTGCTGGAGAGGCAGTTACCTGCAAAATGCTCTCTCTCACCATAAGAAACATCCCCAGATGCCAGCCCTCTAAGATGAAGCGCTCCCTCTTCCTAGCTCACCCACATCATCCCAACTGAGAAAAATTCACCTGGATTTGGGACTGGAGCAGCAAATCAAAGTGACCCACCCCATCTCGCTGCAAGAAAGTGACACCATTTAAATAGAAGGAAAATGGAGAAAATGGATAAAAAAAGTCACTTTTTTTCTATAAAAAGAGAAGTAAAAAAAATTACCACTGTGATGGCAAATGCATAGGATAAACAGGACTTGCCTGCGAGATGGTCAGGGTCCAAACTTGGGAATTTTTTTTTTTTGGTCCTTCTTAAAGGCTTTGCCGCTCATCTGCTTCTCTTGGGTGGTGGATTTATCTCTACAGATACAGCTGGTGTGGGGCAGGGCCTGCTCTGGGGCCATACCTTTGCTCCCTGCCCTTTTTGGCTTTAACCCTGGCTTGGCCATGGCTGTTGCAGGCTGTGGGGGGGGCAGCAGCACAGCTGCTGACGCAAGGCTCCCTGGCACTCACTATGGCGGTACCAAAGCCAGCAGCACAGGATGGGTATGGTGGTATAGGGGCACAGGGCGGTTGGACAGGCCTGCCAGCGTCTTCTGGCTGCAGAGTCGTAAAACCAGAGTGGGAATTCTGCTATCATTTTCTCACACAAAGCCTAAATCAAGGTTTAACTCTCTAGCAAGTGCGACAGCAGGAGCTGCACTCAGTAAATGCAATGGGCCCCTTGTGCAAGGAACGATTTTAACAGCAAAAGCCTCCAAACCATCTGGTAGACAGCTCTGCCCATGCAGGGGCACCACTGGATGCTCTACAAACTCAGTGCTTTGCTACATTTCAGGGTTTTTTTATTTTTTTCCCCCTATTTTCCCCGTCTAGTGGGGCTGGTGTTGCTGGGCGTGCTCCCCTGGATGTCAGAGGTTTCATCTCCTGGGCTGGGCATCACTGAGCCAGAGCCGTTGCGGGAGCTGGGGCACATGGGCATGTGTTAGTAAACATCTCCTTTCCCACTGGCTTCTGCTTTCCGTTTTTCTTTTGATTCTTCTTTTAAAAGATCTTAAGGGAAATTGTACCTCGAATCCCAGAAGTGCCACAGAAGGTGTTAAAAAGGAGTCACATAACTAAGGGATGTAAGGGTAGAACTACAAAACAGTCCAGAAGCAAAACTACTGAAGTAATAGAAGTCCAGCCTGGCCATGCCTTTGGGGCCATAGTCTGGGAATCCCTCCAAGGTGAGAGCCCTTCCAGCTGCCAATACCCCAATCATCGGCTGACAGGAGCCCATAGGTCTGTCACCACATTTCCAGCCTGGCATGGACTCCCAGGCTCACGTGGACACAGAAGACCTTTTGTTTTTTCCTGAGAGCCTCCCACTCCAACAGCTTGGTGCGATACCTGAAGTCAGGCTACATTTCCCATCTGCTGGGCTTATTTCCAGAAAGCTGTGTTCTGGCTACCCATTTCTGGGCCTGAAAAATTATCAACGCCAGAGGACAGAGTCACCTTGCACTTGCAAGCTGCAGAGGATGATAGGCATGCAGACACCACCCAGGGTTACAAGGGAGCAGCAGAGCCACTGGAGGAGTGGGCAGAAGTCCACCCCTGACACCCCAAGCAGCCTCCTCTGCATCCCTGCACCACCATGTCCCCACACCCCCAGCAATCCCTCACTTTCACCAGGTATTTTAAAACTGGCTCAGGGAAATGGTGACCAGCTCAGGGCTGACCACGCACCCTTTTCCCACCCCAGCCCCTGTGCTAAAGCTCTGCATCGCAGAGCCAAAGGGCTAAATGAAATTTTGGTGCTGCCGCGCAGGACCTTGGCACAGCACCTGGCCCCACAGTGCAGAGCAGGACTGCCACCAGCTTTCCCGAGCGCAGCACTGGGGCTGCGGGGCAGTAGATAGCGCTAGAGACATGAACTCCACTTGGCTGCATTTCAGGGCCTGGGAGCCCTCGCACATTTCTTCAGTGCCAGCACTCACCCTCTCACCAGTCCCTTTTCGAGGCGTAACTCCAGTGCGAGCAGGTTTTGCTCATGCTTGCCTCCCACTCTGGGGAATTATCTGAATGCAGTCCAGCCCGTGCGCCCAACCACAGCAGAAATGGTGTTGGATGGAGCCTGGAAGCTCCTCTGTATTCAGCTATCGCAACCTTGGCCTCGCACCACACCCTAATGGTTGTGTTTGTACACAGTGTTTGCACAGCCGAGTACCTGCTGTAAGTTACAGCTGAGGTCCTCCTTTAGTGATTCCTCAAGACACCCCATGACAGAAAGCAGGTGAGATGCTCAGGGGTTTCTGCTGTGGAAGGAGCACATAACTTCTGAGCCAACACTGCATTTATTAAGGGCCGCACTAGTTCTGGGAAAAAGTGTAAAAAACATCTGGTCCCTGCTGTGTGCCAAAGCTGAGAGCCTGGAAACACTCAGCGCAACACTGCACGGGACAGGGTACAAATACCTCATGTTCTCAGTCCTATGTGGTGTTATTCCAGATGGTTCAACACGTCAAGAACAGAGTTACAGACAACAGAAGATCAGGCACTGTCAGACCATCAGGTCTTAGAAAAGCTTGACAGTCACTGTATCCTTAGTTTAGCCTAGCGTACAGCCAGCCACCCACTGATCAGCAGTCCCTCAATGCTTTTGCACTGCTCAGAAAGCACTAGCGGCATCCTTAAAGAGGTGCCCAAGTCCGCAAGTGCACCTCATGCCTTGGTACCCACCTTATCAAGGCTCCACAGTTTCCCCACGTCACTGCACACAGCTGCAGGTGGATCCAGCAGCTGCCCTGTAGGGCAGCTGGGGTCCTTCTTGCCTTCCAGAGACCTGACATCTTGAGGAAGGGGAGACCACACTAGAGAACACGGACAAAATTAGTTCCAAAACAAAAATCAAAACTAACAAGCAAAAAATTGAAAACGAACATGCACAAAAAAAAAAAAGGCAAAAAAGGAAATGCATGGAAGCATTCCTTGTTCTGCCAAAATTCAAGGCATTCTCTTAAAAAAAAATCTAGTTCTCCTGCAAAGGCTAACTGACAATTTTTAATCAACTCTACCACATGAATAAGTTAATCTACATAAAGAGGAATTCAGGCAGTACAAGCTCCAAGATAATACATTTGATGGGGGAGTTTTTACTTTTCTGAATGATGTTTCTTTACTTACTCTCCGTTTTTCAAAACCATGGGTAACTTGCCAGTGGTTTCAAAATCTCCGATCCCTGAATCCCACTGGTACTGCTGTTGCTGCTGAAGTCTTACACCCACGGGGAAAAAGAAATTAAAAAAACATTACCTTGTAATTTCAGGTAGTCAGAGAGGTTCAGAACAGCACGTACCTCTTTTCAGGGCCAGTTATTCTTCTTACTTTACAGGAATCAGCTTAAGGAAGTCAAAGTAATAGTAGTACAAAAGAAAAACAAACCAAAACAAAAGGCAAAACCAAACAATCTAAGGTATGATAAAGATCAACAGGAAGATGTGTTTAAAAATTGCCTGTAAAGTGCATTCGCTGCAGTTCTCCAGGCAGGAAACTGCATAAACAAAATGATGGGAGCACCAGTAAGATCAGGCATTTGTGCTTCTTCCCAGCACTTCCTCTTACACTCAAACATCAAGTCCAAACCCATTGCCCGCATCCTTTTGAAGGCAGGTTCCCAATGATTTTTGCTGCTCTCCAACTGCCCATCGACCACGCAAGGAAGGAAGCAACAGCACTGGATTTGTAACCAGCAGGTCCCAGCTCTAGGAGACCATTTCCACCCCCTCTTGCAGGCACTGTAGGGGGTAGTGGGGAGATGTCTCCTACACGTGTGCGTGTAATTCCCGTGTTTGTCAAATGGCTCCGACTCTGGGTGAATGCACATCAAGACATGACTTCTGGCATACCCAGGTTTTCAGGCACATCTCAGCAGAAACAAGGAGAACTTACAGCAAGATCTAAATAAAATACTTAATATTTTTGGTCAAAGTCTTGTCCTGGAGTCACATTGGGGTGGTATTTTGCTATTAAAGAGGAATTTTCACATGCAAGATCTTGCCACGGTCTCCTTTCAAGATTATGTCATCTTGATTTTTCTTTTTCCCCTCTTACCAGCTTGGCCACTAAGCCCAAAGTAGTCAAACCTCTTGGTGCCCTTCTGTTTGACGGCACTCCTCTTCCACTGATAAGGAAACTAGAAATGCTGAAGGGGTAGGTATTTTTTAAACACTGCACCAAGTGAATAGCTGGAAATGCCAAGCAAAACACTGCTGTAATTCGGATGTGTGATGCACAAAGCCCTCGCTTTGGGAGACATTTCAAATAAAACACAGCAGCCAAGATAACTCATAACTGTTTATTGTAAATCACTCAAGTACACATCATTAATGGCAAAATAACACTGTTAAAACACCTGCTGGATGAAATACAGAATAAAGACAACTCTTTTATATTATATGTCATCATTTAAAAAACAACAAAAAAACAAAAAAAAAAACCTTTTTTTTTTCCCTCGGTTCTACATCATTCCCCCAAAATACCTGGGCCTGAGTCTCGGTTATCTTGAGATCCCTGCCTTGCCCAGGGTGTGGGACTGCACAGCTGGGAAAGGGGCACTCCCTCTCTGAGGGGCAAGGCCTTCTGTATAAATGAAAATCATGCCCTCTATCTTCAAAGTGCTCCAGTGCTGACAGTACAAAGCCTCTCTCCTGCACTGGCTAACATCTAACACAAAGGGCTGTATGTCCCATTAATTCCACATGCGGTTTTTTTCTTTTTTTCTTTTTAAACAAGGCAACTGTTAAAATTCTGAAGCTACATAACTGTCTCTATATTTTGCTCAGAAACCAATGGATGTTGCATGCAGCTGAAATACTAGTAGAGACTGACTTAGATAAAGGTTAGTATTCTAAGACCCGCTAGTCAAAGGCAGAAAAAGAAATTAAGAGGCCTCTTGTGCAAAAGCAGCCGAAATATGCATGCATCGATGGCTATGTCTGATTAGAATATAACTTAGGTCTCCAAATATTGAAACCAAAACTTTATTTGTCTTAAGACATGGTTGAGCTCTATACCTTTACAAATTACAATGTATATGTGACAACAAAGGAATCATCTCAACATAGCATCAGTTGCTATTTTGGCCTGTATAGAGCCTAATCTTCAACACAAAAGCCTGCTCAGCAATAAATGGTTTTCATATTTAGCAAAGACAGCAGCACACTGAGCTGGCTAACAGGGTGAACAAAAAAAGAAAGCAGGCTTTCAAACTAATATCTAAATTTAGGCCAATCTTTCCCCTTGGTCATCCTGTTTTTCATCAGTGCTGTTACTGTCCTTTCCATTAGTCTGTAGCTGAAACAGCACATTGGACCCTGCCCCATCCTCTCTGAGAGAGGCATCTCAAAAGTGTATTTGATTGATAATAGAAACAAAAATCTCCCCTAACTGCACTTGGATAGGATAGTTAGTTCCTCCAACCTGCCAAAGTTTACCACCAACAAACAAATTACAATGTATTTCAGATATGAACTACAGTGAGTAAAATCAAATCTCTCTCCTGTTTAACTATAATATTAAATAATATACAACATTTTTACACTGAATAATCTGAAGTTTGGACATAAGACAGCTAATAAAGGAAAAAGCTGGGGCCAAATCTGTTCCTGGGTAATTAATTTGGTCCAGCTGATCTGAAAAAACTAGTTTTACCCAGAGGAAAATAAATTTACCACAGGCAAGAGAGTGTGCACGCACACCCTCACCCACATGTACGACAGCGCTGGCACAGCGAAGTGTTACTTTTCAAGCACTGCCATCTCCAGTCCTTTCCTTGCGAGCCTGGATCATCTCCTTTGGAGCCTGCTTGAGGTCAGTGACCAACCCCAACCAAAACATGAAGTCAATGAACCAGGTGGTGGGGTTGAACTTCAGGCCCAGCTCGCTGGCTGAGTAGTCGAATGGGAAGGTGTGGTGGTAGTTATGGAAACCCTCACCTGAAAAACAAAGAGGGAGTTTAAAGACCACATGGCCAGCACATTTATGAACTTAGGAACGTGCTCGAGTGGGACATCCAAACACCTGTTTCCCAAGTCCTGAATCCAGTGCAGGTTATGCTCCACCCCTGGCTATGGGAGACCTCTGGGTCAGACCCACAACAGAATCCATTTCAGTCCTTTGGGCTTTCCTCCCCAGTAGGAAGCAGCATGTCCCACCTCCTGCACTCAGGGAAGAAAACCTTAAGTGCTTCAAGAGGGGACATGCACAAATGAGTAAGAAGCAGAGAGTCACTTATTTCTGCTGCGCTGTCCCTAGCTGACTGCTGAGGGGATTGCTACTGTGAACATGTCTCTATCCAGACACTACATGACATTATTTCAGTGTGGACACCATCAGTAGAACAAGGGAGCCTTCCTCTAGGACGCACAAGCTCCAGGCTCCTCCAAGCCCTGGCTCCAAGCGGTGTCAAGCTGCAGGTGCCCAAAGCCCTGACCAGGGTGAAACAGGATGGGACATTGCTCTGAGTTTGCAAAGCTCTACCCAGGGCTACAGCACTTACCGATGGCTCCCAGAGTGACAAACGTGTTCTGCCTGGGGTTGATGTACTTGTCATAAGGGCGGTTGCCATACATATGAGCAGCGCTGTTGACCAGCCAGGTGACGTTGAGGGAGATGGTGTACCGGAGGATGGAGGCAAGGAAGTAGGCATTCCACAGACTCTCGCCCCAGAGGTACCACGGCACAAAGGTAGGGATCACAAAGCACATCAGCACAACTGAACTCTTATAATACCTGCAGGGAAAGAAAAGGATACTATTACCATGGTGGGAATGACAGCTGGTATGAAGTGGGGCTGGATCTCTGGAGACACGGCTCTGTCAGAAACCCTTGGCATAACCTGGGCCAGCCCCATAACTGGGACAGCAGGGAACATTTCAGACATCCACAATCATGACATAATTTTTCCAAGTGCAATTAAAAATGCCAAGACAACCCAAAACCACGAAGCAGCAGGCAACACTGGAGCTGAACAGCTGAGACCCAGCCCCAGAGCAAACCTCCCAAGTTGAGCACCTTTAAACTTGGGGAAGCGCAGAGCTGGCCGCACACCCTGTGCCTAGGGTCCAGCTTTGGGCTTGGAAAAGCCCGGGGCCTGGCGTGGCATCAGCAGAACTGCATCAGAAACACGTTCACTCCTAAGAGTCAGTAAAGACTTCCTCCACGCTCAGATCAGAAGGCAATCTGTAGCACAGGGCAGGAGCAGCTCCCTTCTACACCACTGCTTCTGCGTGAGATCTAACAGCAGTGGCAGACCCAAAACAGCTGCTGAGAGACCATGGGCACCCCACCAAGGATGAGGAGAAAGATGCATCTTGGCCTGGGGGCTAGGATCATGGCTGCTCTCCCAGCCCACTGGCTGGCACAAACCGTGCTGCTCCTCCACATATTGGACAAATCAGTGTACAGTGCAAAACAGGGAGGGAGCAAGTAAAACAGTCTGAGAACAAACAGGAAAGCTTTATAGTACAGCTTCAGCTCCTTTGGAGCTTTATAGTACAGCTATTCCTGGGTAATTAATTTGGTATTGTACTATAAATCTGTTTATAGTATTAGTACAGCTTTAGCTGTACTAATGCCCTGGCAAGGCAGGGAAGAGAGAGCGTAGGATGCAGGGAGCACAGAGGTGAAGCGCACAGACCACAGCAGAGGAAACAAAGAGTAGAATCGTGTTGGGGGAATTAATCCAAGGCAAGTGGAGAAAGGGAGCTGCTCAGCAAGAAGCAGAGGCAAAGTCAAATGCGAGATAGGAAATAAATGACTCTAAATGGAAAATGGGCTAATGGTGCTCAGAAGCAGAGAGCAGCAAGACAGTGCGGTGTGTCCCTAGCTCGAGAGGAAACAAGGCCCCATCTTCCCCGTTGAGCCCTTCCACCTCCCTGGAGCCCAGATTTACTACAGCTCACATTGATCCTGGGGTATCATCATCAACGCAAGCTGCCACATGAAACTGGAGTAGTAGGCTGAGGTGACAGGATTTTGAAGGGTGCAGAAAGGAAAGAAACAAAAAGTAAGATCCATCTTATTTGTGCCCGTACAACAGGTTTAAAATAGACCCCTGCTTTTATTGAGTTTTCTGGGAAGGATGAGGAAGAACAGATTTTGGGTTTATTAAACAGTTATTAAAATTTTCCATTTGTTGAAAGTTTTTCAGATAGCAAGAACTATCAATTTGTTTTGACAAAAACAAACAAACAATTTTAAATTAAAACCTGAAAAGGATTGGAAAAATGTTAATATTAGGAGTATTTCCATGAACATAATTCTCATCTATAACACACCAGCTAATTTTGATCATCTTGTGTATGAAATAAATTAGCATCTTGCCTTGCAATTCTTTGTTTGGTGTTTTTCGTTGTTGTTTGGAGGTTGTGCCTCACATGCTGGGCTCCAGGAGATCTGCAGCTCTCCAGCAACACCAACCATGGTGAAAAGAGAGCATCTCCTCAGCACTCTCACAGAATTCTATCTTCACTTACCTTAGCCAAGACTCTCCAAAGGAAACACTTCCCATTCTTTGCTCCACCAAAGGTAACAGATAATTTCCCACTCCTCTGACTGACTTCTGAACCAGGCTGTGGATCAGGTTTGCAAACCTCATAAATTCAAGGCCAGGATTTAAGTAGAGCTGGAGGAGAAAAATATTTTTCCCGTCCAGAAAACTCCTTCAAAGTTCAAAGCCTCTCCCACTCCAGGGAAAATAAAATAAAATATGACAACAGCTTATCAGGCACCAATTAAATCCATTCTGTGAGATGCAAGAAGCCCAGACAGAAGTCTTTGATGAAGATATGAGATTTCACATCCAAACAAGCACTCGACTACGTTTTCTCTGTCTCCCTTTGACCGAAACATCCACCCTGGAACGAGAACCCTCCTTACCTGGAGTTCAGGGGAACCAATGCCTCAACACATGCTTGGAGAACAGCACTACTTTCACCACATGAAAACTTTGTCATGAAGACACTTCACCTGTGAGCCCCACTTCCACATCACATGCAGGATTATTGCTGCGTTATGCACAGAGGGTAAATGCTGCTGTCAGTCATGCCTTGAGCAGTATTGTGATTTCAGCTGATGTGGTTTTAAACTGATTGAGCGGTACCTCATCCACATCTCACCACTAAATTCAGCAAACTTAACAATCCAACCTTAAAACAAAACATGGCAAAGAAGGGTTTATCATGATTCTTACTGATCCGACCTGCCAGGTTTTCCACACTGTCAGAAAAAACACCACTTCAACCTTACAGAAAGGAGAAACCTGAATTTTTCTTCCCAGATAAGGGAAGGTAAACTCCAAAGTCCTAAATTCAAATCCAGAGCAGAGACATTTGCTAAGACATAACTTCTCTGCAGAAAACCTGCTTCGACACCACACAACATTTGCAGCATAACCAAAGCCACATAACCAAGCCCGCTTCTTGTGAGATGCCGTTGTCTTGGAAAAGGTAATAACATAACCAAGAGGAGCTGCAGCAAACTGCAAGGGAGCCTTTGCAAACAGGCACTGCTGACTGCGGAACCAGTAAAACCAACAATCTCTAATGCAAAAAAGAAACTGATTTCTGGACTCAGCTGACAGCTCCCCTCACCCATAAAACACTCAGAAATGAGCTTCTGTGGCTTGCCAAAGTACGTGAACAAAATGCTTGCAGGCAGAGAGAGTCTCCTTGTGCCTAAAATACAGGTACTCAGACGAAAGAGCATGTTGCTCAATTCCCACCTCTCTCAAGAGTATGTAGCAAACCAGGTCTGTGCTAATTCTCAAGGGACATAATTAGTCCTGTGAAGAATGACAGTCTTGGGAGAGAAAGCACTTGGTCTGCACTGGCCCACAGGTGCCAAAGATGAGTTTGCTCCAATGATCAAATGAGAAGGCCAAGATCCCAGCAACTTCTGCTGGGGCTGTTTTCACAGCCAGCCCTGGCTTTTTGGAAAAGCGGAGGGACAAGGACAGGGCTCACTGCTTGTGCAGCAGAGCCTGCAGGGGCAGCTAGAAAGTGTCAGCCATATGGCAATATTGAGGGCCAGAGGGACAGCAGTCCTAATACTTGCAATCAAGGTGGCAGGGATATCTTGGGAGAGAAAAGGTAAAAAGAAGATAAAAATAAGGAATGAACCACAACTAGACAACCAGGCGGAAGGACCTCTTCACGCCCCTCGCAAGAGGGCCCAGTGCTCCCACTTACTTTCTTTGGAACCTGACAACAGGGTCATCAAGCAGGTCAGTGAAATCCAGTTTCCTCCCCTTCTCTATGACATCCCGGTGCTTCCGCACAAACAGCCAGCCAATGTGGGAGAAGAAGAAGCCGCGGCGGGCGTTGTGTGGGTCCGCATCTGTCTCCGAGTACTTGTGGTGCACACGGTGGTCTCGGCTCCACTCATAGATGTCGTTCTGCACAGAAAGCATGGCAACAAAGGCTGGGCGCTGCTCCAGCAGTACCACCTCCAGCTCCTTCCCCACACAGTAACACCAACAAGTCCCTCTCCGATGCTCCTCAAAAAAGGTTATCGACCAAAGACATCCTGAGGGACCCCATCTTTGCAGCCAGCCAGCCCATCACACTGCTCCTGTCAGCGCCCACACAGAATGGGACATGCTCTGGGAACCAGTGACACAGATTGGACATGTTCAAGGGCTGGAAGCCAACAGTCTTGGGAGTTACCATCATCAGTCTGTCCTGGTCCTGTGTCCTCCCTGGGTGTTCACTGTCCAAGGATGGACACTGGTCTGGAGGGACTAGGTACATAAATGTTTATGTTGTTGTCTTATGACTCTGCCATAGGGGAGCTTGCACACTTATTTTCAGGGCACTACTGTGCAGAGGCACTCAGTTCTGGCATTCTTTTTCTAAGCTGACTGCAGCTGGTTACCACTGACACCCTCCAGGCACAAACTGAAAATGGGACAGAGCTCGTGGAACACTACATGTGCCTTTTCCTGACCTGAACAGGAGCTGAACTTGCTCAGCCTTTTGGAGGGATGCGTCTTTGTTGTGATTTAGCCCCAGCTGACAACTAGGACCACACAGCCACTCACTCATTCCTCCCCTGCTCTCCAGTGGGACGAGGAGAATGGACAAAAAGTGAAACTCGTGGGTTGACATAAACACAATTCAGGAGGATAGTAAAAAGAAGAGAGAATAATTATAATTATAATAATAATAACAACAACAAATATACAAAACAAGTAATGCACAATACAATTTCTCACCACCCAGTGATCACTTGCTGTCCCGAGCAGCAATCATGGATCTTGCAGACTCCTGCTCCCCGGCCAACCCCCATTTATAAATTGAGCACAATGTCTACGGCATGGAATATTTCCATTGGCCAGCTTGGGCTAGCTGCCTGGCTGTGTTCCCTCTCAGATACATCACACCTGCTCATTAGCTGAACATGGGAAACTGAAAAAAGTCTTTGATGTCTTAGCAACAACTGAAAACATCAGTGTATTATCAACATTCTTCTCATACTAAGTCTACAACACAGCAACTACTGCGAAGAAAATTAACTCTATCCCAGCCAAAACCAGGACAGTCTTCCACAGTAAAACCAGCACCTCCATTTAAAGTACTGCTCTGTCTGCAGAGATGTGTACAAGAGCACAGCCTTCCAGTACTTAAAAGGGGCCTACAGAAAAGATGGGGAGAGACTCTTTATCAGGGAGTGCAGTGATAGGATGAGGGGTAGTGGTTTTAAGATGAAAGAGGGTAGATTTACATTAGGTAGTAGGAAAAAATTCCTTACTGCAATGGTGGTGAGACACTGGAACAGGTTGCCCAGAGAAGTCGTGGATGCCCCTTCCCTGGAAGTATTCAAGGACAGGTTGGATGGGGCTTTGAGCAACCTCGTCTAGCAGAAGATGGCCCTGGGGGGTTGGAACTAGATGATGTTTAAGGTCCCTTCCAACCCAAACCACTCTATCATTCTACAATTAAGGTATCAAAGGACATGTGCCTATCTTACGGGAAATCAAATCCTGCATTTGCAGCCAGGCTGGAATAAAAGTCTCAGACCCGTAACATCAGCTCAGCATTGAATCTAGACCAGATACAAAGCAAGTTCAGTCCTGTCACTGCTCAAGTTGTGAGCAGGTATGGGTCACTGAAATGCCTTGTGGCTGTAAATGGGATTATGTGGATGTCAGGGAGGAAGGGATGGACTGCAATTTCATACTCGTATCTGTAAAGAGAGACTTTCTGTGTTTACTCAGCAGAAGGGATTTCAGCCTCCCAGTTTGCTCTGCAGGATGCACTGGCTATTGGACTAAATGTGGTTTTTGCAGTAGTGCCGAGCTACACCAAGCTGAGTGGTGCAGCTGACACACCAGAAGGACGGATGCCAACAAGGACGGGAGGTTCAACAAGGCCAAGTGCAAGGTCCTGCACATGGATTGGGGCAACGCCCACCATCAATACAGGCTGGGGGATGAGGAGAGTGAGAGCCCCCCTGCCGAGAAGGACTTGGGGGTACGGGTAGATCAAAAGACAGGAGCCACCAATGTGCGCTTGGAGCCCAGAAGGCCAGCCGTATCCTGGGCTGCATCAAGAGAAGCGTGGCCAGCAGGTCAAGGGAGGTTATTCTGCCCCTTTACTCTGCTCTGTTGAGACTCCACCTGGAGTCCTGCGTCCAGCTCTGGAGCCCTCAGCACAGGAAGGACCTGGAGCTGTTGGAGCAGGTCCAGAGGAGGGCCACAAAGATGATCTGAGGGCTGGAGCACCTCTCCTATGGGGCTGTTCAGGCTGGAGAAGAGAAGGCTGCAGGGAGACCTTAATGCAGCCTTTCAGTACCTGAAGGGGGCCTATGGAAAGATGGGGAAAATATTTTCAGCAGGGCTTGTTGCGATAGGACAAGTAACAACGGCTTTAAACTAAGAGAGGGTAGATTTAGACTGGATACAAGGATGAAATTTTTTACCATGAGGGTGGTGAAACACTGGAACAGGTTGTCCAGAGAGGTAGTAGAGTCCCCATCCCTGGAAATATTCAAGGCCAGGTTGGACAGCGCTGTGAGCAACCTGGTCTAGTTGAAGATATCCTTGTTCACTGCAGGGGGGGGGTGGGCTAGAAGACCTCTAAAGGTCCCTTCCAACCCAAAGCATTCTGTGATTCCATTCTATGATTCTATTAGTGCAGGGCATTGTAAGCATGTAGAACACTTGCAAAACTCAGGCCACACACTCATCTATTAATTGAATTGCTCAACAGCAGCACCAAAACATGGAAATGTTAGTTAATGCCCAGGTCCACAACAGCATGAACTTTAATCAAAGAACGTTTAGCAGAGTGTGCTTTCCTCTGCTATTTCTATCTTTGCACAGCCAGAGAGGTATCCAAGCAGTAATACCCAAAGGAAGGGCGGGCTTGGGTTACTTTTAGGAACAGCAGTAGCACCCACACCACAACCACCAACCACAGCAGCTTTGCTCCCAGCAGAACTAAGCAAACATTTTGCGATGTCTGTGAAGTAAACACAGTGTGGCTGCCATCATGGCGCTGAATATACTGCAGGAGACAGTAAGCCCAGGCTAATGACAACTGTGTATATCTATATACTCTGAGACAACAGCCCTATGCTGAAAGCATTGCAGAAATCATTGCTCTCTCTCTCAGCTGCCAACATTTGAGAGAAGGCACTGAGGCTGCCCATGCTGCTCAGGGGACTCCAGGAACAACTGCAAAGAGCAGCTAAAGAATCCAGCTCAAATGCTTCCATGTCCAATTTCAGCCTTGCAAAGGTGCTCACCGTCTGCCAAGAGCCAACAAGGGACAAGCGAAGAGCAAAAGCCCTAGGCAGATCTCAGCTCCATTGCACTCCGTTGTGCTCAGCCCTGTATGGTTGTCATGCCGTGGCTGCAGTGATGCTGGGAGGGGGCTGGGGATGAGAGGAACACTTTTCTGCAGGACTGACTCATCTAAGCCACTCAGAGAAGACAGTAAAGATCAGCCCCTTACCAGCGCTCCAGTGTGTTGCACCTTAACTATCCCATTGCACAAGAGAACAAAGTAAACTGAGTGAAGCAAAGGAAGTCACCAAACTCTTCAGTGAGAACAAGGGGAGATCTTTACCTTGCTGCCATCTTATTTTTTCCCTGCAGAAAAATCAAAGGGAATGAAAGCTTCTACACTGCTTCAAGTAGCTTCA